ATTAAAAGACCCTTGGAGGCCAAAGTACTCTCTGACATACTGTATAGTGTTGTTCATTTCATAGGAAGGGCTATGCTGTATTTTACAGAAATAGACTTAAGGGTATTTCATGGATAATTCTGACTAGCATGCAAAAACTATAGGAGTGCAATCAAATGTATTAAAATTTTTGAAATGAGAGACTAAGGAACAGCCAGACAGACCGATGGACGTATATATGGATAAAAGGACCAACAGAGGAAAAGAGAAAGAATGCAGAATGTGCCTTTTTTTTAATGACGGCTCAGGGATTTGAGGAAATAATGTGTGCTGAGAGATGCTTGCTCTCTGGAGAGTGAGAGGGGGCTGGGAATTTATTAAGGCCTCAGCCACAAACCCCTGTAGGGACGGAGGGAGCAGACAGCCGTGTGTGTGTACACAAACACACGTGTATGCACACTGGTTCGACAGCTGTGTTTGGACAGAGCACCGTTGTCCGTGACCTTCTTTGCTGAGGTCCACCTTGGCTCTTGCGGCCATCATGAATGCACCAAAAGAAGTTCAAATCTTCTCCTCTGATTTCAGTCTCCCCCTCCTCGACCAGTGCGAGCATAAATGACTTCCACCTACTTCCTCTAAGTGGAGAGTCAAGTTTCATTAAGTCTCAGATGAAGCCAGATCACATTTCCTGTGGGAGCTGGGTCACTCGTTAACTCCTCAGAAATACAGACATAACACCAAACGTCTGAGTGATTCGCCACATGGGAATGCGTCTGTCAGCTCTTGTCTCTCTTTTTTTATATACTGTCAAACATTAATATTATTGTCGTAAGCACTTACTCTCAATATATTAGACTGCTTTCGCAGTAAGTGCCAAGAGACTATAAAATCTGAAAACAATGAGCCTGAGAGTCTTTCCTTTTCTTTTTCTGACAACATTTTGTCACAAATCACAGGGAAAAAAAGGTTTTAAGTAAAAATAGGACCTATTTTTTTCTAATCCAGTAGCTCAGATTCCTGTCCCATGAAAGGAAAGCTTGGGCTGTAGGCTTTACTGCCTGTGTGGTTGTTTCCTGTTTTTATACATTTAAATTGATTAAAACACCTGCTTTCACGTGATCATTTATATCGTAGACGTGGAGGATGAATGATTGGCTTACACTAAAAGCTAGCACTAATATAGCAGAATCTTCAAGTAAGCTTTGAAAACCTGTTTTCTCAGTCAGCATCAGAAACCTCTAAGAGCATAATCAAGGAATAAAAGAGACAACCAGTGGTGTAGGATAAGGATGGTATGTAAAATATGAGGGCTGACGACTGTCCTTTGCTTAGTCTTACAGTTGAAAATAATGTACTGATTTAAATAAAACGGTAACATTCATATGAAACTCTATACCAGACTAAACAATGACTATGTGCCACAAGTTGCTGTTAGCTTCTGTTCTGGTTCATGGTGTTAAAGTCCATCTTTTGTATACAGTCTTTGGTTTGAGCCATAGGAGAATTGACACTTTTCACTGTCTTGTTTTACATTCTTAAACAGCTGTTTGATTTTTCCTGCCCTCCGTCCCATTTTGAGGGCTTTCCCACGAGGCCCTTTCTGGTACTCAGAAACTCTGTGAACAGACACCGCTGTTGACAAAGCAAGGCTCCAAGACCAAATGTGACCTTTCACCCCTATCCAGTGGCAGGCTTAATCCATCTCTATCTTTTTAATAACACAGAGAAAAAAAAGTCACTGTTTTATATAATGTAGATGAGCATCAAGTCGCAAAACCTCCCAGCAAGTCCTGTTCTTCATTTTGAATTGTAAGGTTCTTACGCACTATATTTCAGCATTTCAAAGCTGAACTTTAAAGCAATAGTAAATGCAAGAAACGTATAAATTATTTTACAGTTTATTAGTAGGATTCATAATTATGCTTCATACAAATAACTGTAAAACTAAATGACACTGAGATATTATCAACGTTACATTGACCCTTTTTTCTGTGTTGTTACCCAGGCACAGCCCTTTAAGTGTTTAAAAAAGTACACATTAATTAAAACAACATGTGAGTTGCCCTCAAATACCAGCTTTTTCACTCCTTGTTCTCAACATTTACTACTCTCCTGTTCCTTTTTACGGCTCTTTGTTCCAGTGCTGATGCCCACTGACTGTTTCATTGATGGTGTTACTTAAGTTTAAAGTGGACTTGAATGACTGATTAATTTAATTGCTGCCAATCTGTAACAACCGATGGCACAGGATCCACAGTGGAACCTTCTGTTTAAACATCTGCATTTTGTTTTTGTACAATTACGGCTCATTCTGCGTTAGCACAGCCTGTGCACCTCTCCCCAGTTGTGCTCAGAGATTAATGCATTTTTCACAGCACAGTCAGGAGTATGCCGAGTGTTTTTTCATCTTTTGGGTGGGCCTGGGCTTGGTTAGGTTTCTGCCCTTGACATAAAAGCAAATCCTGCTTCTTTGTCCAGTTTTTTTCCTCTCTTTTTCAATTCAGTTGGAAAAGCAGTACATTGTCAGGTTTCAGCAGGTCATCAAGAAAAAAAAACAGATTTTCACAAACGGCCTCCAATGTGAGCTGTGTTTTAAGCAAAGCACACAAGTACATGCTGTCAGAAACACTTCAACTATCTTTATTGGAGCAGGAAGATGCTCTTTTCTTTCTGCCACAACCACAGAGAGTCAGTCTGTAGTTTATGGTCAGTGAATGCACATAAATATGTTTCCAGCTTAGTCATTCTGAAATATCTCTCAAAAGACCTGTCTTGAATTTAAATCTTGAATCTGTCAGCGCTTTGACGGTTTTGCTGAGAATAGTTGCATTGAGTGAGCACTATTCTCCCCTCACAGAGGACTACGCTCCCTCTGCTCTACGTGAACTGGTGTGACCTCTCCGGCAGAGAGTTACACCAAACTGTACCAGAGGGCGCTGTGCTGGCGATTGGGCAAGGCCACATCTATCCTCGCCCGTCGCCTGTCTCCTGTCTCCTTTTTCCTGAAGCCCAAACACAATGAAAAGTTTATAGCTCCCTTCTTGGCCTCATTATCCCTCCTCTTTGCACAGGCTCTCTGTGCTTTAATGCTGCTCACTGCTTTATAGAAAACACATTTCTCTCTTCAGCACTGCTGTAGTCTTGGCAGTAAGTCAGCTACACTGTCAGTATCTGCACAAGACATTGGTGGCTGCAGCGAGGATTAACACGGACCAAGGAATGGCACTCTCTCACAAGGACATCGAGTTTTATTACAGCTGAACTCAGGTTGCGTCTCATGCGTTCTTTTACAGCCTCGCTTCCGCTCAGCTCCATCCTCCTCCGTCCTCCAAACCTAAGCAGTTTAGCAGCCACTGGAACAAGTGGGAAACAGCTTTAGTGAGACGTCTGCGTAACAGCGCAGACAATCTCACACCTTTGTGGTCCGAGATGGGGGTTTTAAGAAATGACTGAGGGACAGAAAAAAAGAAAGTGAGGAACTTGGATTTTGAAATGTCTGGCCTCTCTCTCTGCTCAGTTCACTGACAGGGCTGCAGGTGTTAGAAGAGACTCGCTCTGTTTGCTTGGCCTGTCCCCAATTTCCTCCATCACTCAGTTGCTGAAACATGAGCTCTGCTTTTCATACGGGTTTCGGACAACCTCACCCTTTCCTAATGTTCCTATGGTCTTGAAACTGACTTAGTGCACAAACAGTTCTCTGCTGTTCTTGAATGCTCTTAGAGAGTCGCATAGCTTAAAGGACTTTGATGCAGTAATCTCACACATCTTTTGTTAATGTGAGAGTTTCAAAGTCTGCTGCAGGGTCTTACTTGTAACGTTACCTAGTGCAAGACTTTTCTTCAAAGAGAAAAAGCCGCATGTTTGGAGCTAGTGGACATTCATGGATAGCAGCTACTAGCTTCATGTGCTACTGCTTCACAATCATTACTATAGATTCCAGCTGTCTTCATTAAAACACCATTACAAATAAAATAGAATGGCAGAGCTCTCAGCTTCATGTACTATATTTTATCTGCCTCTCTACCTGTGACTGTATACATCTGTATCTGTTTTAGTCTTCTTCCTCACAGAAGAACGGGGTAAAGCGAATGTCTGGGAGCAAATAAAAACACAGCTATTTACAGTGTGTGCTTAGGTAAGAGTGCCATCTCATTTAAAAAATCTGGAATCTGTGTTTAGGCAGGTGTGTGGTTTTTTTGTTTTTTCACTTTTATGACATTCATTCATGCAATGTAACTCAAAGTTGGTGGGCTTGTTGCATTTGAGCCCGAGGAGACTGAAGTTTTTTGGATGAGAGATGTGCTTTTCTTTCTTTTTTAAGAGAGTATAATTTGGTGTAAATTATTTAAAGACTGTATTTTACATAAAATGCTTTAAAAAGAAAGGAAAAAAAACATTGTGACAGCTGTTTCTTACAAAATTAGAGAAGTTCATGATTCTTGACTACGGAGCTATATCCTTGAAATTTCACCATAGACGGACTTTTTAGCACTAGCTAGATCATCTAGAGCTGTCAATAAGGTTCAGCTTTGAATGCAGCATCATTCACCCAGTTTACTAACTGATAAACACAGAGGAAACTCAGAATAAGAAATTAAACGTAATACTTCTTCTTCTTTTAGCTGCTCCCTTTAGGGGTCACCAAAGCGGCTTGTCCGCTGGTCAACAGCACCGGTGGTGTTCATTGTTAACCAGTGTATGGAAATCTTATTCTTCATGATCTGTATGTCTGCTTTAGTAAAGATTTTAGGGTGGATGCCCTTCCTGATGCAACCCTCCACATTGTTCCAGGCCTGGGCTCAATACTGCTGTAGGAGTACACTGGCTTGTAGCCCCCCATGGCTGGGTTAGTAACTGATGCTTAATGAAAACCAAGAATTTAAATAATAATTAAACTGGTACAAAAACCCTAGAAAACTAAAGAGGATCAGAACTCAAATAACATATAGCAATAATAAAATATAAGCAGAAATCAAAAATTAACATAAAAACAATCCAAAGTGTCAAAGACTGCAATAAGGGTAACACTTTAAAAAAAAAAAACCAAGCTTGAGTATGCTGATAACAAACACCAGGCCAAGCTTTCCTTCTCCTACATCTGCAAACCTTTTTCTGCTCTCCAAAAATCAGGAAATCCCTGAAAGACATGGAAACTTCCATTTGGCTGCTATATCTTGTTTACAGATGTGAAATGCTGGGCTGATGTTTGGTTGGTTGTTTAAAGTTTTTTGTAGGAGCTCATAAGCACCGACTCTTGTGTTGATTGCATGTGATAGGTGGCCCGAGTCCAACACTGCTCGGTGTTCTTTTGCTCCAATCTCACCTTTTTCGTGACTTTTATTGGATGTTTGACCTCTCTCACTGAAGCTCATTGTGACCAGCTGTTGTACATTTTACAAAGCAGTGCTCTTCTGTAAGCTGAGACCTTGAATTCAACCAGTTGTTAACTTTTTGCACCAAAAAGCCAGCAGTGTTGTTGCCAAGCACCTCCCTCTGGAGTGGAAAAAAATGCTCTCTGTACACGTGTGGGCTGAATTTCAGATGTTAAGATAGCGACTCTCCTTCCCCTGCTCCTTTTCATCCTCTGTTTTGGCTCAGCCTGATGTAATGCGGCTCTTGTGTTCACAGGTATGGAATGGCCTGCCTGATTCAGTTTGAAGATTTTGCCAATGTGAACGCTTTCCGCCTATTGAGCAAGTACCGCAACAAGTACTGCACATTCAACGATGACATCCAAGGTAACACACGCACACACGGATGGATAAACCAGTCGTCAGTACAGCTGATAAAAAGCTGAAGAAAAACACCAGATGTCAAAACCAAACTGCCCTTCAGCTCTTGTATTTTTTTAACTTTCCAAAAGTTTTCCCTGTGACTTTTTCATTAGCATCCTTAATAACCAGCCCGAAGAAGACTAAAAAACACTTAAGTTAATGACAGCTTGCCTGCTATGTAAAAAGTGGACAGCTTGTTTTTTTTTAGCTGTAGGTACATTTTTACTGCTGAAGGGAATGTTACTGCAGAGTCACAGTCTCTACTTTTACATCACTGAGGGCAGCTAATTGCACATGAAAAACAGTCAGACTTTATAAGGATAGTAAACTCCTACTTTAACTTCAGGTTTTATACTGAATACAGTAAAAAAAAAAAAAAGTCAATAGGAATAAAAACAAGCAGTAACAATAATCAGTCAGCACTGAAGTTTGCTCCTGCTCACATTCTGCTCTACTTACAGCCTCTTTGGATTCTGTAAGGTGTTGTTAAACAAAGAATTCAGTTCATCTTTTTTCTATAGTGCAGAATCACAACAGCAGTTGCCTCAAGGTGCTTTATAGTCTAAAGTAAAAAAAACAGTATACAATACACAATAATACAGAGAACCCCAACAATCAGATGGCCCTTTATGAGCAAGCACTTGTGACAGTGGGAAGGAAAAACTCCTTTTTAACAGGAAGAAACCACCAGCAGAACCAGGCTCAAGGAGGGGCGGCCATCTGCTGCTACCAGTTGGGGATGAGGAGAGAGGGACACAACAAAAGACATGCTGTCGAAGCGACCCAGAGATTAATAATAACTAATAATTAAATGCAGAGTGATGTATAAATACAACGAGAGTGAAAAGAGGTTAGTAAAGTAGAACTAAGCCTCAGCCTAGGCCTATAGAAATGTGACTACGCTTGGGTTCAGGGTCACCTGATCCAGCGCTAACTAGAAGCTTAGGCTTAAAAGCAAAGTTTTAAGCAGAGTTCTCCTGGCCTCTGAGCAGCAGACTCAGGTTAGCAGTCTACCCTCATACATGCCTCTGCTGACTTATGTTGAGAGTCTTGTCACTTGCTTGGCTTTGCAGTCAAAATGATGCAGTGTCCCCAGAAAGTTAAATGCACACCTCACCTCTCAATATCTGGGCTCTATACCACTTTGGTGTCCTGCAATAGCTCATACTTTAGTTATCATTCAGCTGAGATTGGATGACACATGACGTGATCATGTGACAGGATCGCATACAAAGTCTCTTATCCCATGTGTCCCGCTTGGTTATGGAATCATGTTTCTATCACACGGAATGTAAAACTGGAAGAGTTGCTGTAAAAAAAAACCCTGTGAAGCTGCATTATCTCCAAGCACTAAAGTTCCTCTGTCTTAATCTGCAGGTACTGCTGCAGTAGCAGTAGCAGGACTACTGGCTGCCCTTCGCATCACCAAAAGCAAAATGAGCGACCATACCATCGTGTTCCAAGGAGCAGGAGAGGTGGGTGCAAAATTCATTCTGAAGAAGAGACTTGTTAATGCTGACAGAACATACCTAATTCTGCTGTAATAAGAGAGCACCAGCACTCTGACTAGTGAACAGTACAGTGATTTCATTACCATTAATCAAGACTGTTCTCAATCCTCTTCCCCACAGTTAGCAGCACTTTCTAACACAAAGACGACATTATGGTTTAATATTCTTTGGTGAGGTTCATGTGATTTTATGGCAGGATTAGTCATGTGAAACTAAATCTGCCAATCAGCTCCCACCATCCTACTGTTATCCTTTCTGTCTGCTCACAGGCAGCGATGGGGATTGCTGAACTGATCACCATGGCCATGGTGAAGGAGGGGCTCTCCAAAGAGGAGTGCATGAGAAAGATCTGGATGGTTGATTCTAAAGGTCTCATTGTCAAGGTACCTTACTTAACCTGCAAACATCTGTTATAAACATGCATATTTAACTCAGACCCATTTTTTTTCTGTTCTCTGACGTTTTTAATAATAACTGAATACCTTTAATTTTCATTCTTAGGGTCGGGACCACCTGACTCATGAGAAAGAGAGTTTCGCACATGAGCACCCACAGATGAAGAAACTGGAGGATGTGGTGCGGGAACTGAAACCTACAGCTATCATAGGTAAAACATTGTATAATGTTATCTGTCACCAATGCATTTGTAGACTACAGTGAGAATGTGAGGTCATTTTGAATATGCTGAAAATGAAGACTAAAATGACTAAAAGCTGCCAAATGGAATAAACAGCACATTACTGGCTTTCTGTCCCAGGTGTGGCAGCTGTTGCTGGAGCCTTCTCTGAGCAGATCATCAGGGACATGGCCTCGTTCAATGAACGCCCCATCATCTTTGCCCTCAGCAACCCGACCAGCAAAGCTGAATGTACTGCTGAACAGTGCTATACATTCACAGAGGTGCTGAAGACTGTGCATCCCAATGCGTGTCCAGTTTGAAGGATTTTTTTGATCATCCCTAATGAAAACAGGCATTGTAAATACTTTATAAATACTTTTCTGTGATGCAGGGGCGTGGCATTTTTGCCAGTGGTAGTCCATTTGATCCCGTGACGCTGCCTGATGGGAGGACCTTCTACCCTGGTCAGGGAAACAATGCCTACATCTTCCCTGGTGTGGGCTTGGGCGTCACTGCCTGCTCATTACCGCACATTAATGAGGAAATATTCCTGATTACAGCAGAGGTAAAACATTCACTCACACAGTCTATAGTCTATATGCATCCTTTTCAATTTGTTGTGCTCTCTGTTAGTACCTGCTCTTTCTTTGCTTTGAAACAGGCTCTTGCTCAGCTGGTGACTGAGGAGGACCTGGCAGAGGGAAGACTGTATCCTCCTCTCAGCACCATCAGGGATGTCTCTTTCAAACTGGCAGTCAAGGTGAGCTCAGCAGATGCACACAGTGCAGGAGATGCATCTTGTCACATCTGGGTCCAGTTATATGAAACAATGAAAACCTGTGTGTTACAGATCATTGAGTTTGCCTACAAGCACAACATGGCCACACTTCGCCCTGAACCGTCCGACAAAGGAGCCTATATACGCTCACTGTCCTACAGCTCTGACTATGATGACTTTGTTGTTGACTCGTACCGCTGGCCTGAGGACAGTATGACTGTGCAGTCATGCAAACTTTAATGCACTGGACATAGAGACCCTGGGAAGGCATGGTGACTACTGATGTGCACTGTCATCATCAAGATGTGATGTTGGGATATGAGAGAAGCTCTGTTTAGAATTTTCTTATTGATATGCATTACTGTGAAAAAAGGGACGACAACACACAAATATTGAAAAGCACTGGAATGTTTTAAAAAAGTACTGGAAGACAAAGCAGTCATGAAGTGTTGTACCAAAGGCATCTTTTCACAATAATCTGAGGAAAGTCTGTAAACTGATGTTGCATTATGACTGTACCAGTGGAAATCAAAAAATTCTTTCTCAAATAAACATTGTTTGATTAATATTTTCCATGTTCAGTGATCACATTTGTACTGACAAAAGGGCAAAGATGGACAGAGACTTTGAATAAAACCTTCACTGAGTTTTGTAGAGAATCGCTGTGTAAAAGGTCCTGCCACCGAATGATATTGTGCTCTGCCTCCCTCTAGAGGCCACCTTATGTCATTGCAGTGGAAAAGGGCGCTTATACATATCTTGGCTTTTGAATCACCTTTCTCTATGTATGTTTTTAATGATGTGATTTGAGCTGAAAACTCGTTTGGCGCATATTTGTTAATAGCAAATTCAAACAAAGAAATGCATTCACAAACTGTGTCACGCAGAAAAAAAGAGGCACACATGTATCAAAGAGAGCCAAATTCAATCCAAATATTTTATTGTCCTTCTGGTGCCTTTTGAATTAAATTGAGGAGGATTTTACATGAATTAATTAATCAATCACTTGCCAGACAGTCAGTACCAGAGGCCTTGGTGAGCCCACTGCCCATCCCAGTCTGAAATCAATAAAGAAACAACCAGACCAGTCAGCATCCAGTGTTCAGCGTCTCACCCAGGGCAAAAATCTGAGAGACAATCTTTATTTTAAAAAAAAATTCCCCTTACACATTCACTGTTCCAGCCTCCATTTAAAATCCCCAAATCTGCCCTGGGCAACCACTGCTCTGACCTGAGGATCAATATGTCTCAATGTCAACACCATCCAGTTATTAGTTGTGGCTGTGCAAGCCCCAGGAGCAATAAAACTAACACATAATTGACTTTTGTAAGGCTGTGTTTGGTTTGTAGGCAAATAAAAGGATTAACATCTTCTTATTGCCAGACAGTCTAACAGAGAGTTGTAGCACTCAAAAAGAATTCAGAGCTGAAAACAGAGAATTCCACAACATCAAAGAATAACAAAAAGTTTATCTTCCAAGGGGGGAAAAAACATTTTTGAAACCTTATTTTAGAACAAGTGATTCAAAATAACTGACCAAATGTTTTTTCTGAGGTTAAAAAGTGAAGAGTTGCTACTAGAAGGTGTTTGATAAAGCTACTTTAAAAGACTATAAAAAGACATGGGAAGGATTTCAAGTTCCTCTTTCAAAATGAATTAAACCGGTCATTTCTTTAATTGAATTACATTTTATTGGTTAGATTTTCCCAAAAACTTCTCTCTCCATGCCCTAAAAAGGCTTAGATTTGCCCCTTTGTATGTGCAGGTCTGTCAATATGCAAATTAGTCCACAGGACAATTTTCAGCCAACCCCTCTACTACTTCCCAGGACCTCTTTATCAAACAGCCACTAATGTGTCATTAAAGGCAAGTAAATCCTGTTCCTGATGCAGTTCAAAGGTGTAAATGTTCATCAGTGGTGCTGCTGACTGCTTATTTTACTCAAGATGTGTCTTCACAAACATAAAAGCACAATATGGAAATTTTAACATGGTTAAAATTTTTAAGGATATAATTCAACCTTAGAATCGCACAAGCAGAACACACCAGTAATTCCATGAGTTATGTGCAAAATGGCGAATGTTAACAGCACTTTCTATTATTGAGGAAGAAACCCTTTATCCTCATTGTCAGGTTCAAATGTATTCATCTAGCAAGACGGTCTATTGTTTCTGTTTTTGATCTCATTGCATCATTTCTTTATTGATTAGAACCCAGTAACAACGTTTAGATAACATTTCCTCCTTTTTAAAAAATTTAATATTTCTATTAGCTATCCTTTAGCTATTTAACTATTTAGCTAGTGTTTTAGTGTCTCAATTCAAACAATATCCAACTTATTTATACTTATACTGTTTATTCATTACTTTTATGTATCTTTAAGCATTTTTAACAAATACTTTTACCTACTATTACACTTTTGAACTGTTTTAGCTTTAGCTCTATTTTTTTTTAGCATGTGTTACCATGAGCTAACAAAACTGATGCTTTCGCTGTCCGTTACTCTTAGCTGTTATAGCTCTTTTTATTACTGGTAGCTAGCTGAACTGTTTATTTACATTTCAGCAGTTTTCATTGTATTTCTGTTACTTTTAGCCATTTCAGAATTTCTAAGATAAGCTTGGGTACTGTAAACGATTTGAGCTATTTTACTTCATGCAGCTACAACCATTCTTTAAGGTAAACCTGAGAAGACGTTTAGCTAACAGATTTAACAGTTCTTCATTACTTTGAGGTAACTAGTTGATTTCCACATTGTCACAGACACACTGAGATTTTATAGCTGGTGAAATATAATTATTTATTTTTTTTAGTTTGAACTTTATTCTGTTTGTGCTCCTTGCTTCCTTTCCATGTTTGCTTCACCCTGCAGCCCTCTCTAGCACCTTGCTGGTCACAGGCTGGGTAACATGCAGCTGTAACCCGACATCCTTTTGACCTTGTTTACAGTCTCATGTTAAATGGCACCTTGCTAAGACCTTTTGATCAGTGCCAATCAGTAAAGACCCCCAGGGGAAAGTCGCCTGCGTGTCTGTCTACCCATCCTCCCACTCGCCTGTCTGACATTTTATCCAAACAACCTCCCCCATCTGCACATCCACCAGGCCGCACAACTGGTCAGAATAACTTTCATTCCTCACAGGACATGCAGTTTCTCCTATTTGTCTGAGTTTGTCTCCACAGTTCAGTCAGCCTTGGACTTTAATGACAATATAAAAAATTCTTTTTGTGAGTTTTTAGATGCCTGTGCATCAGCAGAGATCGCCTGATGCTGTGAAACACTCCCCAGGGCTTATACACCAGCCTTTATTATTCTGTGTTTATACACTTTTTAAAAAATTGTTCTTGTTCGGTTGAGTTTTTGCCGGCGGGGGGGGGTTTTTTTCCTTTTTCAGGCGGGGTTGGACGGTGCATCTTTTATATTTCCAACCAAGCAGCACCTTCTCTACAGTCATTTTCCCTTACATCTAATGCAACTTGTGTAGCTAATGCATGAAGATAATGACTACTATACGTACAGTTTTAACCCCCCACAAACAAAGTCCTCCATGATTTTCACCACCTATGTCTAAAAAAAAGAATGAAGAGATTACTTCATTGCACCAGCTCGAGGGCAGTGGTGGAGATGGTGTTATCCAGTTTAATAATCATTGACAGTATGTGGAAAACAACTGGTTAATATTGCCTAAATAGAATACATAACTTAATATCTTATTGATTCTGATCAATATTTTATTATATTAAAGTATATTTTGAGTATTTTACCATAGAATTGAAAGATTTTTCTAAATAAATATATATCAAATAACAGAAGCTATTTTTCGTGTGTCATTGCCTCTCTATCAACTGTAATTTTTAAGGTTTAGATGATTTTATTTTTTTAAAAAAAATGTTAAATCGAATTATTTGGTAGGTAAGACACTGCATGAACTTTGTTTTTTGGACCTCACAGCTTAAAGTGGATACCGAAGAAAACAAATTCTTTAGGCATCTTTTTCTATTGCCAAAACTTGATTTGTCTGCAAGTACATTGTATAAAACCCTAAGTCATTCACAGACTTATAAGCCTTGGCAAGAAAATAAAGTATTTAGAAGAAGGTTTTGTAAAACCTGTTTGTGTAACCTGTTTGTGTATCAGCTAGCAACATCTGCTATGTGAATTCTAAAGCAGCTCTGTCGTCATCTGGACAGCAGTTTACACTTCAAGGATTCTGTTTGCACCACTATGCCACTTTTTGTTCTTCCTCAATAAAGGTGGCTGCATTAAAAATTGAAATGTATTGATTGTGGAGTACAACCGCTACATAAGAACGGGACGCAACCAACATGCAGCTTTTCTATGTCCTTTTGCATTAACCTTGCTCAGCGTGTGAAAGGATTACTGCACAAAAGCTTGCAACAAAATGAAAATAAAATTCTTCATTTGCTATAATGCTTTGTGTTTATCTTCACAACAACGCTAAACTTCTTCAACAAATATCAAAGTTTCCTACCTGTGACGGTGTCACAAAAGGATTGTAGCGACAGAAATCTGCATCTTGATGTGTGGACAGTACGCACCAGATTGGCACACTCGGCCTTAGTTTAGTAGCTAAAACTAAATTAACCTCCTGCAATCATGACAAAAACAACCCCTTTTGTGATGCAAGTCAACACAAGTTGCTACCAAAACCGACTTTTATTTTCTCAGCAAATTCGGTGCCCTGCCTAGCTGGTAGTAGACTGAATGAGGACCATTATCAAGGAACCTCTGCTCAGCAGCTCCCTATCGTTCAGCCATCCTTGTGAGTGATTCTGTGAGTAATTCGGAGGGACGTCTCTGTTTCGCAGACAGTTCGTGAGGCCTGCACGTCGCACAGGTTTTAGCCTGAGAGGCAGTGGTGGGCGCAGGTTTCCGACAGCCTGTTGTTTCTCGGGCGGGTACCACGCGCAGATACCAAGCAGGAGCGCCAACGCCTTGACAACCTTTCCATAATTAGATGAGGCCTTGCGCTCAGCGTGGGCATTCTCGCACTGAAATCTAACATGACATGTGTGATCACGACCCAAAGTCGTGTTTAATTAATTTTTGTTGCAACACAGTGTGTGCAGACATCATTCCCTGCAGCTCTCGCCACCGAACAAAACAGTGTTCTACTAAAATAGGCCACATTGTAGTATTTGTGAACAATTACGTGAACGTTTACTGAGTTCAACCTGCTCTTTAGACAAAAATCAACAAGTGACAGGTCCAAATGTGTGGTTTATCATTGATCATTGTTCAGTGTTTTACAAATTCAAGAGGAGGAAAATGTTTTAACCTACTTCTGTAAAGTCTCTCTACAGCACATTGCCTTTAGCTCTTGAGCATGTCTTTGCCGCCTTTTGAATGTCGGCACATGCTAGCCAGGCTTGTGCTTATTATTTTGCTGCAAGCTCCAGATGGATCAACACATGCTGAAAATATTACAAGCAAGACATTTGCATGTGACCTAAATCACTCACTTCTGCTCCACCATGCAAAACGAGTCAGTCCAAAGACACCCTTATAAAGGTCCTGGATTAGAACATTGCAAAAACTGAGATTTTCA